AAGAGTTTTTACATTTTGTTTATCTTTCTTTTTAGGACATTGAGGGACAATGTGTCCTTCTTCATTACAAATAAAACATCTACATTTTTTAATATGTTTTGGTTTGGGCTTTTTACTCCAATCTATTTTCTTGAAATATTTTTTATGTGGTTTAAAAAATCTTTTCTTAAACTTCTTATAATTTTTGAATTTTCTTTTATATTTCTTATATGGCTTATATTTCTTTTTGTGATAACCAGATTGTTCAATTTGTCCTATATCTTTATAGCAACACAAAGAGTTTCCTCTCATTTTATATGATTTCTTACTTTCTAATGCTTCTCTACACTAAATGTCTATCATTCTTTTCGTAAATTCAATCTTACATCCAAGACTATCTTTATTCACATCATCCTCTTCTCCAAGAGGTAATAGTTTTTTATATTCATTTAATAGTTTTATTCCCCATGGGAATAGTAACTTTATAAAATAATACCTTAATATAGGTTTAGTTTCTTGATAATTTCCTTGATTTAATATATAATATATTTTTTCGAACTTACACGTGTATCTTTCTAACTAACACATGTCGCATATCTTCAAATATTCCATTGCTATCATCCCTTCATTATATTCTTCTTGTTTTCTAGTTTCTTCATCTACTGTAAATCTATTTCCTAAGAATTCTGTTCTCAGGGTTCTTTCTAACCTTCTTAATATTTCTTGTATGTTTTGTTCATTCAAGACATTCATGTTATCTATTGTTTTAGTTGTATTATCTCCATATTTTATTTTTATTTTTATATTTTCTGGTAACTTTCTCCACCAATTAGATACAATTTCTCTGAATGTATGTTCTATAAATCCAAAGGTTGTATATGTTTCCTATTTGTTAAATTGTATAGCTAAGTCTGTACTTCAGTCCTTCACGAAATATACATGAAGTCTATCCCAACCAATAAGAGTTTCATACCTGAGTCTTGTATGAAATTTTCAATTGAAGAAATGTATGCTAAACTCACTGGTAACTTACAAAAAATATATATATAAGACTAAATATTAGTATGATAAAGACTTTCTAAGTTCTAACTACTAAGGGTGCATTTGATTATAAGTATGGAAAGAAAATAAATTTTTGACAATTCAATTGTTTAGAACTTATTTGTATGAAAATAATTAATTAAATGTGTTTAATTGATTTAATTTTTAACCTAAAAAATATTATATTTGTCCATTTTTTACTAATAGATAAATGAGAGAGGGGATAGATTAGAGAGATAAAGAAATAGAGAGCGAATTACTTGGAAAATAAAGATCACCTCTCCCTAAAAAAATACTTTCTTTGTTTTTGAGGAAAATATGATTACATAACCAAAAGTTGAAAAATATTTTTCATAAAAAATTGTCAATCAAACATCCCAAAAATAAGAATTTTGTTGGAAAAATAACATTTTTCATAAAAAATAAAATCGGTCCAACACACTTAAAGTATGTAATGTCGTTAGCATGTTTACATGAAACATTTTTTTTTTAAGTAAATACTCTGTCAAATAGCACCTCCTCTAATTAATAAATTACAGTGCAATAACTCATAAATTCATAATAATTTAGAGAGGTCATACGGTAACAAACGAGGTATGGAAGAAGGAAAAATAAATTAAAAGTTTAGTTTATTAGGCAACTGTTCAATTGTGATTAGACTGCAACGGCAAGTCGATCACATTGCTTCTTTTGCAGCAATAATGAGTCAAATGGGCTGAAATGCTCGCTAACTGGCTCAGCTTCCCCTACGACTCGTGTCAGGGACGAGTCAAATTGACGAACGATCCGTCCTATTTGATACACTTACCTAAACCTCAGAAGTCACAAACTAATTACAAATTTGGACTTTGGACAATTTTCCACTCGTCAATTTTCAAGATGGAACGAGTTAAATTGACGAACGACCCGTCCTACTTGATACCCAAACCTAAACCTCAAAAGTCACAAATTGATTACAAATTTGGACTTTGGACAATTTTCCACCTGCCAATTTTGCAAGATGATTGGTTCAACTAAACTTTGCTATCTTATTTCAGCTCTAGGTAAGTATCTTTTGTTTGTATCTTGATGTCCCCAACCCAATTCAATGATTCCAATCTTAAATATTGCAAAGTTGCTCTATAGGTCAATAGATACATGGCTTTACTTTGTGCTTTTATGGCTACAAAGATCAAATCAAATTCTTTAAATTTATCAGTTATGTTTGATTGGCTAACAATGAGCTGTTCCTTTTTTTCCTCGAAAAGGGCGTTTAATTTGTTAAGACGCAAGGAATTTACCATTTAAAAGACTAGGTACCTAATTGTAGTTTTTGAATCGATCAATCATAATACTATTACTACCTATCTTTTATAGTTACGAGGTACATGATATGAGTTTGGAAGTAAAATACATTCAATACACCTAGGGACGGAGCCAAGAATTAACGCCATGGGAGGCAAAAAAAAAATTTTAAAAGTCAATGTATGAGTAAAATTTATATATAGTGCTTGTCTGCTGCAGATTTTCCAAGGGATTAGTAGTCATTTTTTGACCGTTAAGATGTCAAGTGGAGCCCACATGTGAGAGGCAAAGTCAACTAAAAAGTCTGGCAACGGTTCAAAAATCAATTTAAATTTGCTGAAAAGCTATGGCAGACAGGACCTATAATAAGAAAAGTCGTAATATAACATTATGTATTAAGGTTATAATGGACGATGTAAATCTAAAAGCATAAAAAACCAAAACACTTCCCAACTATCCAAAAAACAATCCACCGGCAACAATCCAACTACTTATCTAAAAATTCAACAATATTACAACTAGTCAACAATTCGACACCAAATCTAAGAATCTTAGGGTGTGTTTGATAACACCCCTTTTACACTAAACTTTGATTAAAAAAATGATTTTTTAGGGAACAATTTTTTCCCCCTTTTTTTTTTACTTTTTGGCAATGGAAACAAATTTTATAATCAATTGTGGAAAAAAAATATCACTTTAATGGACAATTTCCATATAAAACAAAGCCAAACGAATAGAAAATTTAAAAATTTTTCAAGTGGAAAATTATACAAATCAAACACACTTGAAATCATTTTCCCTGCAAAACATTTTCTAGGCAAATCTTTTCCCTGTAAAACATTTTCTTTCCACCTATTTTTCACCCTTGCAATCAAACGCACCCTTAAATCAACTCATACTTCAACATAAAATGGAATTCAAGGTACCAAAGTTAAAGCGAAGTACCTGCTTGTGTAGTTCGTTGCAGCGTCAAATTCTTTATTGATTAACTTTAGTTTCGTTCTCTGTAGTTAGATCCTAAATCAAGACTAAATATGTACTTTCTTGGCTAACTGATTTATCAAATTGTGATCGAAGTAGAGGTCTACAACTCGACTATTCTTCATTTTAACCGTGTCGATCTTTGAAAGATTTTGATCAATAGTAGTTTGTCTCATCACCACGATTTTCTATGTAACTTAGGCTACTACAATTAGGCTCGAAATTGATCGATTGGTAATAGAAATTTTGACTTTTTTTGTTCGCATTTGAAAAACATTACCATCAACATCACATTTGAAATAATATCTCACTATTTGCTAACAAGAGTTGATGCAATGAGTGGGACACCGAAAAATGAGTAATAGCTATGAACTTCGACATACTAAACATTACAACTTCAACATACACACTAAACTTGATAACGAGCCCAAGATTCAAAGAAAGCACTTCTAGTAAGCAAAACTTTAAGCATCGAAGTCTTGAATCGCTACATTAAGCCCTTGTTTGATCTTCATTTTTTCAAAATATATTTCTCTCTTCTTTTTTTTTTTTTTTATCAACCACACATTCTTTAATAAGATAATATTATACGCAATCCAAAAACTTTTCTTCACTTTCAAATTTCAACAATACATTCTCCATCAAATTACTATTCAAAAGTACATTTTACACCAAAAATGAGGTTCAAACATGCCCTAAGTGTCGAGCAAATTGACCGAAATACAATTTCGCAAAATTTGTATTCTTCATACAAGGTCAGTTCTACCATTAATACTGTGTATTCAGCTCATATTCCAAATGCTTAAAAATCTCAACATATTATTCATATAAAGTAGAACTATTTTGGCAAAGTTTATAAATAGTTTGTCAAACTCTATTTTTATTCACATATTATCCTATCAATCGTGTTTGGTGTATAATTATGGCTACAATAATTTTTTTGTCGATACAAACATTGCCGTCCAAATTATCATTCATAGTTGTACAAATAGATTAATAAGTATTCGGTAAGAGACATGGTACACTTCTACTTCTGGTAGAAATACTATCTGTGAAAGCTATTTTAAATCAATTTAATCTAAAAACTCTGTTAATTAAAAATAATAATTAAAAAAATATTATATAATTATGTTAACTGAAGCTTCTTAGTCTCTGTTTATCTACCATTATTTCAAAAAATTGTTTGTTACAGTAAGATTATTCACCACACATTTACCCAATAAAATATTCTACACGCAAACCAATAAAATTACTTTAATTTTCAATCACATATTCTCCAAAAAATACTATTCATTACTCTATTTTTTTCACATTAATGGGAGACAAACACACCCTTAATTTCAGTAGAAATTTATATCTTTTCAAAACTCTCGTCAAATCGTCCTTCAAAAAAAAAAATTCCAAACGAGAGAAAAATTAGTTGGATAATATAAAACCGGTTTACAAACAACTCCTTGGCCGGTAAACCTATTACGCGGGAATCACAACGGCCATGCAAACTAGCAATTCATCTAGACCACACGAGTTATTTCTTAGATTTTTTCCATATTTTTTTTATACGCTCCTGAAACTGCTAGCGCCATCCATCTTCATATCTTTCTGCAATTTTATATAGAAAAAACCCCATTTATATTCTTCGAAATTTCTGTGAATTGCGACTGAAAACAAAAGCTCTTTTTGTTGGAATTCTTGGAAAAGAGACTAGAAATTCAAGGATGCTGGCTGTGTTTGATAAAGCAGTGGCAAAGGGCCCTGAAGATTTGAAGAATTTAGACACGGATTCTGCTCCATTTTCGGCACTGAAAGATGGGTCTTTCATCAAATATTTCAATTCTGTTCAACCAGATCCCGTGTCATTGAATTTTGGTTCATCTGGTTTCATTGCCTATTCTTCTCACAAGCAGAATCCACTTCTTCCTAGGTGAATTTTTCTCGCTCTGAATCTTTATATCTTGTACATTTTTTCTGCTTTTCAATTTTTAGTGGAAATTTTTAAATCTTGAATATGAAGATGATAAATTCTCTTCTATTGAGTTCTGCCCTGATTTCGCCTTTGTCAAAATTCTTCGAATGTAATTTTACTCTTTTTTTGTTCTTAATTTCTTCTTTTATTCTTTATGTCAAGATTTATATATGATTTTTTTTTATTTACTTAAAAACTATGATAAATTGACCCGAGTCTGTTACTGTGAACGGTGAAATTAAATATAAGTAGAGAAACCAACCCACTCACATTGATATCAAACTTGAGGGGGAAAAGAAAGAAAAAAAGGAAATGAAATACGAACTTTACCAAAAATGAAAAATAGGAAAGAAAACATAATACTTACCAGTTACCATGAAAAAAGAGGCACATATTTCCTACTTCTGCACACTGAGAAAATGACAAGGAAAAGGTTTGTGGTGACTCACACCCAAAGGAAGAAAGGTTTGTGGACATGTAAAAGCTTTTGGGTTTTCTAGTTTGTACCGCAAAATCAAACGTTATCTCAGAAGCACCTATGTAATGGTTTCACAAATGCAGATATGGTTCCAAGAAGTTTACATTGGGATACTCAGAATACTCTTGGTGGTAGAGTGTTTCATGGAAATCTATTACTCAGAAATGCTCATTTGTCCATAGGCCAAATAAATTTCTATTATTAAAGCTTGCAAACAAGTATTGTAGATGAAGTTCCTGTTAGAATTGGGTCAGAAGCAAGAAAACTTTGTTTTACAAATAATCAGAGTGTAATCCACCTGAGAAAGCACTCTGCCTCTCATTTATGGTCCAAACATATTGATGTGAGGAATACCATCTAGGATGTTCGGTTACATCATCATAAAAGAAGTTTTAAGAGATAAATAACACACCAAAATTTTCGTGGCCTAATATAATTGCAAAAGATTCAGTTCGACGGATCTTTCTGCAGATGTAAGGTAGATTAGCAGACTTGTGAAAAAGAATTCATGTAAGCAACTTTAACACTATTGAGGATACGATATAGCTTCTTTGTTATATTTTCTTTCCTTCTCTTTTTTCTTTCTTGGGGGGCGGATGGAGGAGAAGGGTTTGAGTTAAAGTGTGTGGGGTGTATAAAATGAATAATTTATTACCCTTGCATTTTAGTACATTTAAATTTTTTCTTATTAAATCCACCATGTTTTCGAGTTCAGTTTATTGCAAGTTATTTCTGATGATTTCATTGATTAGCTGGTAGTTTTCTTAAGCCCTTCTCTGTTTCTTAGATTTATTTAATGTGGCTCACGGAATTGTGCATAGCTTAAGGAAAGGAAAAAATGAGGATTTTATTTCAATGGGTTACTTTTATGACAATCACCACTCAAGAATGTTCTATCCCTATCTCAAGACCCTCACTTAACGTATTTGCATGCATATGCATATTAAAAATCCACTATTATCTGTGCAGTCTTGGTCAAGTACTTCCCCAGAATGGAAGAATCAAAGTTTAAAAAAAAAATTAAAAAATTAAAAACTACAATGAATTACTTGTCTTCCCCTATTCTTGTCTGCACCGTGCCTTGATTTTAATAGATATTATTGAAATTTGTTTTCTTGATGTTATAGCCTTGCAATTAGATTTATGAAAGAATCAAAGACTAATTTCAAATGCATTTTTCCATGATCTAGAGTTGCAAACTTTGCGCGCGCATCTAAAAATGTCTGATAGTTTTAATTGTGATTGCTACGCTAGGCTTTTCTCCGTTCTGGATGACATTTTCTGCGTGTTCCAAGGGCATATTGAGAACATAGCTCCCCTGAAGCAGCAATATGGGTTGACAAAGACAGCTAACGAAGTAAGTGTTGTAATAGAGGCTTACCGAACCCTACGCGACAGAGGTCCTTATCCTGTTGACCATGTTGTACGAGACATCAATGGGAAGTTTGCATTCATACTATATGACAGCACCTCCAAGTCTGTATTCGCAGCTGGGGTGAGTTCTTCCACTACATTTATCATTTTTTTAATAGAAAATTTTTGATTGAGACCGTAATTATTAAAGCTACTGTCATTTGGGATCTTCAAAACTTGGCGTTATCTTGTATATGCTGGAAGCATTTATACCTCCATGTTTGAGCAGGATGCTGATGGGAGCGTGCCTTTCTTTTGGGGAATGGATTCTGACAATAATCTTGTTCTATCTGATGATGAAGCGTTTGTAAAGAAGGCATGTGAGAAATCCTTTGCACCATTTCCAAAAGGTACAATCCATTAAGGAGAAATGTGATTCTAAACTTGGCAGTTAATCATCCCTGCAATGTAGAATTGTAGACATCTGCACTTATACTGCTTAATTGCTCCAAGCATGTCTGTCTATCTCAAATAATGTGGCTCACAAGACCTATTAGGATTCAGCTAGTTGTATTTTATAGATTTAGTGCATGTTCATTTGTAACTATTAACCCTTACTGTATCATAGACCCAAAATTGTCATGATGGGTACTTGAGGTTTTTAAAAATCAAATTTGCTGCACCTTGATAATTCTGCTTTTTTATTCACGTTCTTCTGCCCTTGGTCTTGCTCTTGTTCATAGCATGCAGTTTGTATCTCATCCTTGGAAGTGTGAAATTTTCTCATATTGAAATCCTATATGCCTATTTGTTCTAGGTTGCTTTTTTACGTCTTCTGGTGGCTTAAGAAGCTTTGAATTTCCCAAGAAAGAATTGAAGGCGACACCATGGGTTGATAGTCTAGGGGAGGTCCGTGGTGCTATTTTCATGGTTGATGAGCAGTCCAGAAAGGAAACTGGTATGCCAAGAGTTGGGAGTGATTCAAATTGGTCATCTCAATACTAATAGAACACATTTTTTGAAGTGGAAAGGTTCTATTCTATGGATTCATGCGATACTTGCTTATATTTTTCCTATCATTCTAATATCTTGGAAGTGAGTTTGTGGATATTCCCCATTCAGTATAATCTTGAGTAGAAAGATGGATGCAAGTTTATGCAATATAGAGTGCACATTGCTTTTCATCGGTTGTACCATTGAACGAGAACAACAATGCTTTTCATCAAATTACTATAACTGGTTTTGTCAATAGTGGTGGGATGAAATTATAGCTAATACTTGTGCTCTTGTTCACCAACCTGTTGTCACGACCCAATCCTCGTGTGTCCTTTTACTTTAGTCCTACAAGAAATTTATAAAAAGCAACAGTTACATTAGCCTTTTAGTCTTTAGATAAGTGTCTTGTAGCATTTCTACTTGTTGCCTGGATTCATTTTCATTGACTAACTAAATCTCGTTGGGCTTCAAAGCATACTTGACGGGCTTTTCTTACAACTTAACGAGCTTTTCTTACAGTTTGATGCAAGCAGTAACAAGAATTTCTCCCACATATCTTAGGAGTTCTTTCATACTTGCGCCGTTTTCTGGTCATTGTTTGAACTTTTGACTTTCAATGATCAGACATTGTCTATAAACTTGCCACTAAAAGCCCAGCTATTAGTATTACATAAGATCTTTTTGATGTTTTTAGTAGTTAGGAAACTAAGATTTTTTAGTGAAATCAACAGCTCAAGTATCAAATTCACGACTTTGAATCTAGTAAATTTTACACCCATACTTTTTAGATTTTAGGCAAAACTTCAATGTAAAGGAGTTTTGTAGCATCTTGCATTTCACCTGCAATAACTATGATATAACTCATTCCATATTGTAAAAATGATTTGAGAACTCTGCCAGTCAATACCTGATTCGGGTAACGAATTTTACAAATCTGGCTACCTAAATTTTGATCCTTTATGGACCCAGTATGTTTGCTAGCTCTGATACCAAATTGAACCATGTCGTCTTACAGCGTAAATATCAAGGTTACGGATAGAATCTGGATTCAATTTTGATTATCCTGAAACTTCCTGTTTTGCGTTTTATTTACTACAACTAGAGTGAGCCTACTGTTTCACGGGTTACGCTATAGTCAGTTTTTGATGCATGCAACATTGCAACTGCAACTAGGATCTTATAAATTATAGACTGGTAAATGGTAAATTCTCTGTATGGGGCCACTGATTGATTACTACATTTGCCTTAGTTGTATTTCCTTCAACTGCTTTCGGAATCGTTTATTTTTGCAGCATCATATCCTTAATATTGTTAAGTGGAAGCCTTCCCAAAGTTCTGGGTCTCAGTTTTGAGAAATTTACTCAGTCTGCTGACTGAGAATTTCGACAGTGAAACTATTTTATTGCATTGTGTCTTTGCCTAGTGGTGTTACACAGTGTTGGTCCGAGCCGTGTGAGCTTTGCAGAGGAAATTGAGTGCTGTGTTTTGACTATCTGTTTTCGGATAATTAGAAATCAATCCAAGGGTACCTAGGACGTGTTTGTTTCAGATTAAAATCAAATTTTAATTTAAGTCAAATTCAAACAATCAATATTAACTAAATCTTTCATAGGTCACACAGCTTTTCAACCACACATTTGAAAAACTTTTGATTACAATCTACTAAAAATCTAATTTTAATTTCCACCAAACATCCACTATAAGGAATTCAATCCGTATTTAACNTATTTATTTATATCTTTTTATATATTTATATATATAAATAAATATTTATATGTATGTGTATATATATGTCAAATTCTCTGATTTTAGAAAAGTGAAAGATGTTTTGTCATTTTTGAAATAGGCCAAAGAAAACATCTGAAAACTAGTTGTATTTCCTTCAACTGCTTTCGGAATCGTTTATTTTTGCAGCATCATATCCTTAATATTGTTAAGTGGAAGCCTTCCCATAGTTCTGGGTCTCAGTTTTGAGAAATTTACTCAAGTCTGTTAACCGAGAATTTCGACAATGAAACTATTTTATTGCATTGTGTCTTTGCCTAGTGGTGTTACACAGTGTTGGTCCGAGCCATGTGAGCTTTGCGGAGGAAATTGAGTGCTGTGTTGTGACTATTTGTTTCGGATAATTAGAAATCAATCCAAGGGTACTAGGACATGTTTGTTTCAGATTAAAATCAAATTTTAATTTAAATCAAATTCAAATAATCAATATTAACTAAATCTTTCATCAGTCTCACAACTTTCCAACCACACATTTCAAAAACTTGTATCACAATCTACTAAAAATCTAATTTTAATCATCTCCAAACACCCACCTAGTATATGAGGATTGTTCGAATGATGTTCAAAGATTGTCATGATTATAATCAGTTTAAATTATGAGCATATAGAAATAAGTAGTGAATAAGTTATCATACTTGTGAATCCCACGAAATATGTGAATAAAAATAGCAAAAGTGATTATAATTTAAATACTTGCTAAACTATTATACAGTACTGTTGGGGATCTATTCTTGAAAGCAGTCGCTATTCACTTTTAATTATGGCAAAAGTGTTTAAAATTAATTGTTGATTTTAACTTAAATCTTAATTCAAATTTTAAGATGAACCAAACAGGGGCTATATTTTGGCGGGAGAACTTACTATGTAGTTTTCGACTTTCTTTTCTCTTTTTTGGTCAACTTGTTCTTGTTCTGAAATTTTCTTTTTTTCGTTTTCAGAAATAAGTAATGGGGACTTAGTTGTTTTTATGTGGGGACAAAATGCTCAAAAAAGAAAAAAAAAAAACCCCAGCTAACAAAAGGATCTGATGCTGTGCGTGTTTGGCCAAGTTAACAAATTTACTTATAAGTTTTAAATATAATATTATGTTGACCCCTCCTTGATTGCTTTTCCAGCAGTGAGCGTAAAGAATGGATCTGGTTAAATGACAAACACTTAGCATAATGAATAATTGGGCGCCACCAATCTGTTATAAATATTCTCCCCAAAGTTTTAACGTTCATATAGGCAGTGTATCTAAAAACACTCAACGGTCTGCTTTGGAGATTTGGGATACCAATTGTGTGGTTATTTTGAAGTGTCGATTTTGAACCTCTATGAAGGGTTCGATCTTTTCGTGATTTTTAAAACAGTCGAACTCATAATTCAGAGTTTATTATTCAGTGATTCTGAAAGTTTTTTAAAAGAGTAAAATTACATATACGAGACTCATATATAAGGTATGTGTAAATAATATGAAGTGAATGTGTATATCACTTCTCATAAGTCAATATGCTTATTGTTGCTTTGAATAAGCTCTTGCATGTCGATCATTTTCTACTGAATTATATGAATAAGAAACTATGAGTACGTAAATGTAAACCCTTTTGCTAAATATTTTTTAAGATACCAATTTTGAACAAAACACAAGTAACGAGTTAGTGAAAAAGGGTCAAAAATCACCAATTCAGTGGGTTGAAATAAACAACATAAATTACACTAAATTGATTTTAAGTGATACTTTCAACCTCTCATAAACCGTTACACAAAAAAATAATCAAAATTAGGTAAAGAATTAAGTTAGAGAATTGATGAATTATTTGACCTATGGGATTGTATTAAGTTGCACAAAATAAGTGGACAAGATAAGTGATTCAACCACAATTTTCAAATTTTTTTTACTTTCAAAGTAAAAAGTAGTTGAACTGAATCTATTAATGGTCGGGATATGGTCCAGAATCATCATCCTTGCACTTAATTAAAACTATTATTATCAAGACAAGTGTAACTTTTTGAAGGAATTAAACAATCACTTAAACTTTCTTCATCTTATCATTGTCTAGTTAAATTATTATTTTTATAAAAAAAAAACCATTATGGTTTGTGCTTAGGCTTTATCAGGCCAATATGGTGGGAACTTTTGTTAAGAATAATGAGCTTTTTCCACTTTGTGATACAATGACATGCTGGTGACTCTGCATGCACCTTTTGATTTGGACCTAACCAAAAGGTATAGGGAAAGACCCATAGAGGATTATGATTCAGAGGAGACGAGACAGAATTACGGGAAAAATTATTTTGGGGAAGAAACCTAAAAGAATCTGAAATTTTGAATTTAAAAGAGTTGCATTTGAAAATTCAGTGGGGGCGACGGCAATCACTCGTCCCTTCATAAGTCCGCCCCTGAAAAGGTATCAATTCAACTTTTTATGAGAATTATTTTGCATATTTTTAGGTCAGATTAATAAAACTTTTACAGGTTTTTCTCTCCTACGTAATATCTAATCCATAGTGTCTTTTAACAGCGTTACGTTTTTGAGAAAGAGAGAGATTGTTGGGCAAGTTCTATTATCTCCTACAAGAAACTAAGGAAGATAATGCCATTGGTTTATTTTGTAATAGAATGTTCATGATACTTGGTTCTTGTTCCACTTGTTGATGTCGAAAATTGTAGATACAACATTTAGATTTACTGGCGTAAATTGAATGTCTCTTTTTACAATAAAATTCACAAAATGTGAATTGGTAATTATAATAACTTACAATAGAAAGAATAGTCCAACAAATCAATAAGTATGACAAAAATGAAATTATCGTTTCTATTTTTAGTATTTTGTCTATACATGTAACAATAAATCGAGTGACCAAACCACGTTATCTATACATTTGTCTTCTTATATAATATAGATATATTTGTCTTTTATGTCATGCTCCTGTTTCGTTTTGTTAAAATTCCAATTTTTAGTAGATTTTAACAAAAGTTGATAAAATGTACGGAGAAAAATTGTTATGAGTTCCGTGAAATGTGATTTTAAAATTAATTGTTGATGTTGACTTAAATTTTAATCATATATTTTAACGGTGCTGAACATGGGCTATAATAATGGAAAACCAAGCGATAATAGAAGCATCTCACACTATTACAATGTCATTTCGAATAATTCGAAATACAAATTAGCAAAACATGTTCATAAAATAAAAATTAGACAGAATTTTGTGCAATAAACTTCTTGATGAGTATCATT